ACCGAAACGGGCTGTATGTCCGTGTTTGTTTTCATCTCGCGCCAGACATACCATTCTTTGGTAAGCAAGGCGAGACGTCGTGTAACTCCCGGAAACCGATCCGTTATCTTCGGTGAACCTCGGGCAGTCAGTCGGAATGTCGGAACCGATACATCATACAGAAAGGGAAGCTATTCCCTTTCAAATGTAATAAAACGTGTCCTATTTGGGCGCTTATACACAGATATGGTTGAAAGACCGCTACATATCGTTTTGTACGGAGAAGGCACTGATCTAATCTCTCAGTGAGACCGCATATTACTGGAAAACGCGAGGCATAATTTTCCCGACGCCATCTCACTGACTCCTATGGTCAGAATGCCGTGGCGAACGTTTAGGCCAACGTCTAATTATAAAATGACGGCCGACGTGCTAAATGACGTGATGGTTGCTGATTTACAATAATGAGATATTTTTATCTGGACACAGTTTTACGGTACAATAAAGAGGCCATTACCAACAGCAGATATGGATGAATGTTTTGGGTGCAAAGACCTTATGATTCATGCAGGCTGATTGTGATTCACACTTCAACTGTAGATAAAGCCAATCACTGCTTTTTTTCTGGTCTCCAAACCAGAAGTAATATGTACCTGTGCATTTATAATCTTAAAATGTAAAAATGTAAATATATTCATAAAATATTTCGCAGCGTTTAGCTATATTCCAGCAAGAGTATGTTGTAGGGAATCAAACCCGGGCCTTCACTGTCACGAGCGAGCGCATGAACCAGTTAGCTACCATGCCGTCCCTATATATCTACATTGGATTCTGAGTCGCGGATTGTACGAATTAGTCAATTAAAACAAACCATAGACAAATAGACACACCATAACTTTAAATGCTCAGAAAAGACCTTAAAAAGCCCCTCCCAGCAAAGCACACAACAACAACAACAACATCAACAAAAACAACGCATCCAACCACAGACCCTGTTCTTTCATCTAATACTTTTCTATTTACATACTGTACCCTTTCAAGGTTCATCCCAAGTGTGAGAGACAGTTCAAACTCTCTTCACTCACGTTCGCGATCTACTATTCGTGATCGACCGACTTAAAGCTGCTTCAGGAAGGTGCCGTCAGCTGACGCCTATTCCAGTCCAGGTCAACCGTTACAAGGAACGCCAGTGTTGAAAAGACTCGGAGACGTTTAGCAGCAGAAACCAAGATGATATAACATAAGGTAAATTCGTTGAAGGGCTCTTTCGGCTTACAATACTAACCCGTGCCGTAACCTTCACCAATTTATCTGCCAAGCAACCCGTTCCCCGTGCGCGTTGAACGTAACCTTAACATTGATTAATCTTTTCACAAAAACAGAAGCGAAAACAGTTCTCTATTCACATTAATCTTACAAGCGAAAGGCAGCAATTAATTTCAGAGGCACGTGGCAAAATGTACAACTGTATACAGGCGTTTACTAAGTGAAGCGATTTCCCAGCATTATTAATGAGTCTGAGACGGACAGCCTATAGCCTGTTTCCATATACATGTAGTATTGAAGTTCACTGAAGCAATGAAAGCCTGTGCTGCTTTTTACGCAAGGTTTCTCGTTCATACCGGGAGTTTGTATGTCTGGTTTTTGTTGAACGCTACGCCCAGCAAGACTATACGACGCAGCATGAACATATTCCAACCTGGACCAGACAATCCGGTGATTGATTTTAAGGTGTGAATATAGTTTTACGCCGCTTTATCAATATTCCAACAATATCACGGCCGGTGACAGTTGGAATGGGCTTAAATCATTGGGGAATCGAATTCTGGTCTTCAGCGTGACAAGCGAACGCTTCAACCACTAATCTATGCTCTTTTTCAGAGCCAATAAAACACATACTCCTACATTTTGGTTGTCGGAAATTCAGGTTTGGCCTAACTAGCACAATCAGGGTGTGTTTACGACACTGCGTTCGCCTCGACCAAATAGTTGAACTCAAAACTAGTGTTGGGAATTGGTTAAAATCTCATAATTGATGATTGGTTCATTACAACCAATCAATCATCGAAAATAATTGGTTAGCGGCATTTATGAAATGTGTTAATGCACAAAAAAATAAGGAAAAAAACATGTAGTTCTTTGGGGTTTTGGGCAAAATGTCACATCTTTAAAGGATGACTAGTATGGAGGAACAGAAATTTCGTAGAGTCTTTAAGATAAATTCAATCATGACTTGGAACGAGCTTGTAGTGCTTATGAAATGTAACAGACATAAACAACCTAGTGAAAAATACTGTTATTGAAAACAAGTGTTCTAGAATTGTTTGTGTTCGATTATGAGAAAACATGATCGATTGCTTGGTCGTTTAGTCACTGCGACCGATCTTCGATTATTTCAATTAATCGGACCACCACTACTCAGAACCACCAGCATGTACCAGAGTCTTCACAGTTTTGTTATCGTGATATTTAAGATAAAAGTTATTTTCTCAATCTCGTGAAAATATTGCAAACCAAGTAAGAAGGAACGGTTTTAATTTCCCCAACTAGATCTGTGAGTGAGTGGGGTAATTTAGGTTTTATGTCGGTTTTAGCTATACTCCAGCAATATCACGGCGGGGGAAACCAGAAACTAGCTCCACACATTGTAACCATGTGGTTAATTCGAACCCGGACTTCGGCGTTACGAGCGAACGCTTTAACCACTAGGCTACCCTACGTCACTGAGGTTCTGAGGCTCACTTTAAAAGTAGGTTTTCAATATTATCGTAAAACCGTCTTAATGACGATAAAAATAGTCACTTTCATTTAGAGAACGTTTTCAAATTATCGAAAAGCTGTCTTCTTCGCGATAAAAAAATAGACATGTCTGAGTAGAAAGTAACACGTGTGTTTACATAACAGACATGCTGTCTGTATGTTTACACATTCATAAAGACATAACTGTCTGAGTTGCTGAACGTGTTTGACATTGTTGCCATGGCAATAGTGGCAGCTTCCATCGGTTCGGAATTCTGACAGCAATTGTGATATTAACTTTGGTGAGACCACACACATAGATTTATAAACACTGTGGCTTTGGGGAAGAGGGTGTATGGTTTTACGCTTTTAGTAATAGTCCTGCAAATACAACAAAAGAAATTCGTTTCACATGTGTTCCTGTGCGGAATCGAACCCTGGCCTTGAGCAACTGCTTTAACCACTAGGCTACCCCGCCGCCCCACACTCGACGACAAGTGAGTGATTATGATACAGGGCTTGATTTAAGCATTTGGAATGAGTGAGAGAGTGAGTATGGTTTTATGCCGCTTCTAACAATATTCCAGCCATATCACGGCGGGGGGACACTAGAAATGGGCTTCACATATTGTACCCATGTGGGGAATCGAACCCGGGTTTTGGTCGTGACGACCAAACGCTTCAACCACTGGGCTACCCCAACGCCCAACCCCACCCCACCCCCACCCCTAGACCCCACCCATTTGGAATGAATGAATGAATAGATAAATGATTATGATTTACGCCGCTTGAACAATATTCCATCAGTATCACGGCGGGGGACACCAGAAATGGGCTTCGCACATTATAACCATATGGGGAATCGAACCCGGGTCTTCAGCGTGACGAGCGGACGCTTTAACCATTAGGCTATCCTACCGCCCCAACACAACACACGAAATTCGTTTCACATGTGTTCACGGGCCTTGAGCCAATGCTTTAACCACTCCGCTACCCCGCCGCCCCATACACGGCGACGAGTGAATGATTATGATACAAGGACTTGACTTAAGCATTTAGAAGTTGCACTGGTGCAACCCGAAACAGCAAAATACAACCTCATATCTGCACCAACGTGGTTATACGCCGCTTGAAGCAAAACCCGGAAATATCACAGCAATGGACTTTGTTTTCATACATTCTGTCCTCTGGGAAATCGAACCCAGACCTCTGTCAGGACAAAACCCATAGGTTTGACCCCAACGCTAACCCATCTCCAATCCCGGGAGATGAAAAATGCCTTTCTGAAAGACTGACAAAGGCTAAAGGAAGGACAAAGGTTTTGTTTGGGTTAAACAACATACCATATGCCTTAAGGCAAAACACCTTGTGCATGATATACTGAATTTAATGAATAACCTAAAAGCTGGGTCAAATATGGTTTAATGTACCTAATGTGCGGGTGAGTGGTGAGTTTACTGCAGTTATTTTGTCATGACACAGTCGACAGGTACAAAGCTATTTGAATATGTGGGTCCTTTTGGAGTGAGTGAGTGAGTTGGGTTTTACGCCGCTTTTAGCAATATTCCAGTGGCGGGGAACACCAGAAATGGGCTTCAAACACTGTACCCATGACGGGAATCGAACCCGGGTCTTCGGTGTGACGAACGAACGCTTTAACCTCTGGGCTTCTCCACCGCCCCGCTTAATGTGCAGTGGTTCTGGTTTTCTAAACCCAAGAAGGTCCGGGTTAGAATAGATCTTCAGTAACCTACGCTTGTCGCAAGAGGCGACTAACAGAATCGGGTGGTCAGGCTCGCTGACTGGATTGACACATGTCATCGTATCCCAGTTACGTAGAACGATACCCATGCTGTTGATCACTGGATTGTCTGGTCCAGACTCGATTATTTACAGACCGCCACCATATAGCTGGAATATTGCTGAGTGCGGCGTAAAACTAAACTCAATCACCCTGGTTTACTAATAACTGTGTCATGTGCACCTGTGTCCACAGGTTGGTTCAGAAAACACAAACAATTGTCAAACTTGATGCTATCAAATGATATATCTAAAAAAGAAGAAAACACACATTGTTTTATCAGCATTCTAGAAACTGGAATGTCAATGAAGTAGATTACAGCTCGATGGATAACACGTTCTTGTTTATTGCAAAGAGCTTTTCGTTTGATAACGGTGTAAGAATCTAACGGAAACGTCGCTCTTTGCAGTAAACAAGAAGTTGTTTTCCATCAAGTTCTAATCTTTGCTAAGCAAACACACAGATGTACATGTTGTCTTACCTTTCTTCCGGCAGCGAAATTATGTTTATTCATCATGGCTTTTTTCGAGGTCTTAATATTGCCTTTCTTTGATTTCAAACCAGAGTTCGTAAACGCCTCGGCAAAATGTAGTCCGAAATTGACGTCATCTCCGCACCCGCCCCATTTGAAAGACCCCGCTGTGTTACTGTTGGGCAGCGCCCCACAACTGCACTTGGTAGTCACCCCGATACTACACGCCCTGGCCACAGAGTGGACCAGAGCCGCCGAGGATATGCCGTACACATAGGCCTGCTCCCTGGTACCTGAAACAAAGGAGACGTCAGTGATCATTGAGTGACTTTGTGAGTTGGTTTAGTTTTACGCCGTACAATATTACAGCTGTATGGCTGCGGTCTGTAAATAATCGAATCTGGACCAGACAGTCCAGTGATGAACAGCATGCTCAGTGGTATGAAGGAGGTCAACAGCTGAGTGAGTGAGTGAGTGGGTGAGTATTAAGTAGATGAGTGAGCTGATTTTAAATTGTAAGTAAAGATTGAGTGGAGTGAGTGAGTAAATTGTAAGTAAAGTAAGTAAAGTCAAATACACATAGTCTTGAACAGTATTCTACTGTTTTAGATAAGGATATTTTTATCACATATCTGATTATCCCTATCAATTGATGAGTGAGTGAGTGAGTTTAGTTTTACGCCGCACAATATTACAGCTATATGGCGGCGGTCTGTACATAATCGAATCTGGACCATACAATCCAGTGATCAACAGCATGATCATTGGTATGAAGGAGGTCAACAGTTGAGTGAGTGAGTGAGTGGGTGAGTATTGAGTAGATGAATGAGCTGATTTTAAATTGTAAGTAAAGTAAGTAAAGTCAAATAAACAGTCTTGAACAGTATTCTACTGCTTTTAGATAAGGATAGGTTTATCACATATCTGATTATCCCTATCAATTGATGGCTAGGTGGGGTAGCCTAGTGGTTAAAGCGTTCGATCGTCACGCCGACGACCCGGGTTCGATTCCCCACATGGGTACAATGTGTAAAGCCCATTTCTGGTGTCCCTCGAAGTGATATTGCTGGAATATTGCTAAAGGCGGTGTAAAACTAAAACTCACTCACTTTCAATTGATGAGGGGTGTATGTCAGTTACATGAAACCCAGTTGACGTTTACCACTTGGGTAAAGCCCACCCTCAGACATGATGCCGACGGAATCTGGAATCCTGGTACCGATTATAGTAACTAGATTATTACATTATATACTCGTGTATTGATCCTATCGATTATACACAGCTCCTGCCCCAGCTCATGTACAACACAAAATCGTGACAGTTGTAAAATTAATACAATCAAGCACTCGCGAAATACCCTTCCCTCCATCCATTTACTCCCTCCCCTAAGCCTCCATCAGAGTAAAACGCCCCAGTTTAACATCTAACGGTCTAGGTTGAAACACAATAAAGATCTAGTCAAACATTTATGGAGACCACCCAATGAAACCAAGGCGGTGAAATTCATTTTATTTCCAGTTTCACGTAAAACGCGGATAAAATCAGCGAAAAGAGGATGTCCCGACAATCACAGAAGGACATCGCTCCAGATTTGCCAGTTACTTGTACAGCGGAGTTAGATCTGTGATAACCGTCTCAGTCCCTCCCTTGATGTGTTTGCTTGGCTTCTAAATGTACAAAGGGAATGACTTGTTGGAAATACTTCTTGCACATAAACAATGTTTCTTGCGAGAATCTGTACACCATAACATCACGAGTCTTACTGCAATTCCATTGAAGTGACGTTCACAGACTCCGTTCATGTTGATGTAAATGCGTGCTGGGTATTCCGATATATAAATAATGATCCTATTGTGATGTACATCTTGAACCATAACACTTTCTTTGAAGCCGCTTGTTCATAATTCATAGATTATTTCCAGGACATCAACTTAAATAAGTTGCGACAGAGCTAGTGGAAAGATAGAAACGGGATTCCACAACCTTGAATAGATTGTATGAAGTTATTGCTCCTTGAGAAAAACAGGAAAAACCGTTTGCTTGTGCGCAGTCAATTAGGAAAACAAATAAAGAACCGGGTATCAAAACAACACAGAATTTTGTTAATGTTATCCACAGATGTTTTATGAATAAACTTGGCTGAGCATGCCAATATGTACAACAAATTTAGCTAGCGCAATTTATGGCCCGTGCGGAGTTGGGACCCGGCGTATTTACGCAGACATTTAACGGCAGCCAGATTTGAATCATACCAAATTTATTTGTGATGGGTGTCATATGTTATCAAGACAATCCCACTTCTGAAACCAGGAGTAATTGAGTTTGCTTACATTACCCTGCTTTAAGCAAACTGAAATGTTTGTTTTATCGAGTGATTATTGATAAAATGTGATTGCAGATTGCTCACCAGAACGAGAATCCATGGTGCGATGTTGGAACCTCCTGGAATCCTTCAAGTCTCAGTTTGAGTATATTTGGAAGTATCACGTTTCAATGATGCAAACCCTTGAATAATATTGACAAAAATGTTTTATTGTTCACATACCTAAGTGCTGTGATAATATAACCAGACATGTTCAAACGCGTACTAACATTACCCTTTTCCTGATTCACTAACCTACAATTCATAATACTGACAAAATGTTTTATTGTTCATATACCAAAGGGCTGCGATGATAGAACCGGACATGTTTAAACGCGTACTGACGTTACCCTTTTCATGATGCACTAACCTACAATTTGCAATTTTTCGTCTGGATGGCTACCTCCATATCTTGCAATGAGTTTACAGTTGTTGCTTGGACTGTAATAACGAGCTGAATCGTTTGGCAGTGTATTATACACCCTGTGAAAGTTATCAACAAAACCATCCTTCAAACCTTACAGTAATCATCGCTTGTGTCAAGTAACTGTTGTAACGGTCGCCCTGGTCTTCGCGACCTGTCAGTATTGGCGCGAGTGAAGACTGTGATTGACAATTAAAGATAATAAACGGTTTATCGACAAGAACGATCATAAAAGAATGAATGTCTCGATCCGAGATGATTAACCGAAGCCGAGAAAAACCTTTCTTAACGCTGAAGGAAGAATAGGCCTGTTGGAGTTCCAGTGAAGCCGATTAGCCCTATGATGAAGTCTAATAGCACGGTAGTTGAATGGAGTAAATAGCTAAAGAATTATCTCAAAGAGTGAGGTGAGGCGAATTATTTCAGAAGAATAGCGGTGGTTGGAGAGGCTCTCCTTGTCGTGGTCCTGTAATTACAGCGTTATTAATTCTTAATGCAGTGAATACAGCAGAGTCTCTATATCTTTGGGCGAATTATACGGCAGCTTACAAGGAGAAAATGATAGACCCATTGTCAGCATATAGAAACGATGGGGGTACAGACAGATGCTCATGAAATGAACTCTACTATTTTGCACATTCCAGAAAACTGGCCATGCGTGACTGATTGGTGGGGAGGTTCAAATGAGATGTTTTCTATGACAAGAGAGGCGGATATAGCTGATACAAATTGACATGCGTGACGAAGAATGGACCTTAATTTTCGTATTCACCAGCGTCTAAGCCAAACACCTGCATTCGCATCTTACCTTTATAGTTTTAATTGCTTACGGAATATAGGTGAAGTCACATGCAGCTCGGTGAAGACTGCCTTTGTCACTATCGGCTCAAAGAAACACTGTTGGAAAGTAGGTCTCCTGTTTAGAAAATTGGGCGAGAACTGACGGTGCAGTCAACGCTATTTGAGCGATGTCGCATCTACCTGTAAATAATTAAATCTGGCCAGGTAAACCACGGATTTAGGGTATGACCTACGTTATGAATACACAATGCCATTTAGAAAGTGGTCAAACGGTGGCTGAGCGGGTTAGGCGGCTGACTTTGTGTGCTGGCGATTAGGTGCCTGACTCTGAGGGTGTGGGTTCGAGTCCCGGATGGGACTCAACCCAACACAAGTACTAGAATCTGTAATCCCAAATATAACATGTTACATGATTTACGTATTATGACACACATCCAAACTAGGCACCCCGTTGGAGCGCATGTGCGCACGATCTTACGTGTGTACTGGAGCAGGCTAATAACGGTTTTATTGTACTACCTCACTGAGATACCATGCCGCAGTTTAACATGGGTAGTGAGTGAGTTCAGTTTTACGCCACTTTTCCAAAAATATCACTTCTTTGTGCCCTGGATGCCAAAAGCCAGACACGGTCACAACAATCGCCGGATTTAGCACCGTCATTTGGTATGGCAGTGACGAGTTCTAACCATCGATCTATTATCCCTCGCGACAAGCGGAACCAGTTCATCTCGGCTTCGAAACGACAGTTTCTTGTCATGAAAGGCATTTTAAATGACCTGTTCGCTTGATCTATCCTCTCTTGTGGGGATTTGTATTACAAAATAGGACCCATTTAAACTTTCTGATTTTGGTCTAATAGGACCGGGTAGCCAATCTCGGTGACATCTTTGATTGAATGCAGCAACCCCCGGAGTGTCTGGTCCACTATTTATAATTTGCAGACCGTTCTCATATAGTTGGTGTATTGTTGGGAGAGGCGTTAATCGACAAACAACGAAAACAAAATGCATATCCGCTACCTATCTCTCGTGTTTGACGAGGGGCGGTGGGGTAGCCTAATGGTTAAAGCGTTGGCTCGTCACGCCGAAGACCCGGGTTCGAATCCCCACATGGGCACAATGTGTGAAGCCCATTTCAGGTGTCCCCCGCCGTGATGTTGCTGGAATATTGCTAAAAGCGGCGTAAAACCAAACTCAGTCAGTCGTGTTTGACGCCATTGTGGGTCGGAAGGACATCCTCGACAGCCTGCTTCATTCCCAGGAGGATGTTCATTATATTACCCTTTGGGGGCCTAGACTCGACCATAACGTGACTGCCATGGTATATTTATAGCTACTGTGAAAAACTAACCGAACATTTACATATCCGCTAGATTTTGAATATATACGGTGTATATGCAAAGAGGCCCAGAAAACAGGTCATTTTAGTACTGATATGACATCTACAAGGGCATATACCCAGAAATAAATACTTCGTCGTCAGAGTGAGTGAGTTTAGTTTTACGCCGCTTTTAGCAATATCAGAATCAATATCACAGCGGAAAATGGCTTCACACATTGTATCAATGTGGGGACTCGAACCCGGGTATCGGTGTAACGAGCGAACCTGTAACCATTAGACTACACCACCGCCCCGCGTCAAGGAAAAAGAACTCCCCCGTGCTTTAAAATATAGGTTTGTAATGCAAACTGACAGCACTTGAT